AAGAGGAGAGAAATTAAAGTCATTTATCTCTAAAGCAGCCACCAATTGTAAAAAACTGAAAATTCTAGATATACTTTGGCCAAATCTTGTACAAAATTCACAACAAATTCAAATAGACAAATACAAATTATCAAAAGAGAAGATAAGAAGCTCACCAGAGGTAGAAGCCTGAAAGTCGAAGGAGAAGAAAATATTGCAAACGGACGGAGGCGAACGAGACGACAGTCGGCACTCGGCAGACCCAGAAGGCAGAAGCTGAGATTCCAATTTCCAATAAAACATTTGTGCCTTTGTGTTAGACTGTTAGGGTTCAGGGTAGGGTACGTGGGTTTAAATTTAATATGTTAACGGGCCAGAAATTTTGGGCAAAAGAAATTAAGTAATTAACATAGAAAAAATCAAAAAATTATGGAAAGCCCAATTATTATTAATTTATTATTTTTTCTAATGGTTAATCGGTTCAATTCGGGGCGATGGCGTAAATATCATACTTGCCCCGCTCCGAACTGGTTCATTAAAATTAAATATTATATCCTCCCCATTGCATCATAGGTTCGATTTTTTTCGCTCCATTCGATTCCATTAATCGCGGATTTTTTGGTTTTGATGGTTCGAATTGTCATCCCTAATCTCCAAGATGAATTTTGGGAAGGATAAAAAATGAAAATAATAGATATTTTTTCCCTACCAGATATCCTGTTTTCACAATCGCACCAAAGAACTATCTTTTTAGAAATTTAAAAAAAAAAATTATCAGAAATTCGCTAAAGTAAAATAATAATTGAGATCTTGTAAGTTGTTATTACATCATTCACTCCAGATTAAGTAAAAAAAAATTAAAATTAAAATTAAAGAAATGATCATAAATTTTAAAAGAAAAAGAAAACATGGTCTTGGTTTAAATCCCATAAAAAAATGTGAATATCTCAAATTTTAGTTATTATTCATTTTACGGCTATAATTGTCGACATTAAAGAACCGTTGTCTTGATTTTTTAGTGTTCCAACCACACATTTGTCACTGTTTTCACATGATTTACCACCTAGTTCATGTCGAATTGTCAATACCTTTACGTGATATTCAATAATGATTCCCCATCCAACAAGAAATCGAGCTTTATTTATAAAAAATTTCCATATCATTTATTAATATAGGCAAGTGGTTTAATAAAAGAGAACTCTACATTATGGAAAAGTATACAGTTAAAAGGATATTAAAATTTCATGAATTTGACAAGATTGAATTAGATAACAAGTAAGCCCTGTTTGAGTCCCATTATTTCTCATTATATTAAATTAAATTTTTTTCTTTCCTACTTTTAACCACACAACTTTTAATTAAATAATATTACATGTAAATCAAAAACTTTTCAACTACTCATTTTTCAAAAAAACACTATTCATCTCATTATAATTTACAAATAATGGGACCCAAACGAGGCTAAATATTTCATCCGTATCATTCAAAAAACTAAACATGTCACTAATGTAGTAAGAGATACGTAAATTTATCTATATCCCATATTATAAATGAGATGAAATAGGAAACGAATGCGATTGAGATAGAAAACGATATAATTTGTATAACTATTTTGTCTTAAGTTTTCCAAAGAGAAAATACTCTCCTTATAAAGTTATGAACAATTAAAATTAAAAGATTATACAATCAAACTAATTAATAAGAAAAAATATCAAAGAATATCATACTATGGAAACTATTTTGTCAATCTTACCATATCCTTAACACACTAAGTTAAGTGGCAAATTGAAGCGGGCTACTTTCAGAATATTGATTCCTTGAAGGCAACTTATAACTAGAGTATTGAACCTAATAACATGTCTCACACTGCAGTATTAAGACTTGATTTGTCGACTCGAACCTCTTCTTATTGCATTTTTGAATGTTTTAGTTAGTCAACTGATTTATTTATATAGATTCAATGTGTAGAATATAAGCAATTAAAAAGCAACAACCCACTTTTAATTATTTCTAAGTGATTAGTCAATCAAGTTCAATTATACTATGGTTTGAATGTCACAATCAACAAATAAAACAGTAAACAACACTAAAGATGACCACGAAGAAACCCCAACTAGGTAAAAATTTCGAGCACTTTGTCAATTAGTAATTCACTATAAATTGAAGCAAACTTACAGTACGGACCAAATTCGTCTGCCCCGTGGAAATTTTGACCTCAATTCATGCAATCTCTATTTATCCTACTGAAGTTGTGCTCCTTAAAACAAATCCCGACTCCTGGTTATGACTTAGCCCTCTTGGACTGCTTGCTCATGATGCCAAATCTTGACTCTTGGAACCTCACCTTAGTCCTCTTGAATTTGTGATCGATTTATATTTGATGGATTAAATAAAGAATTCTTAGTTCTTCCAATGAAACCTCATTCGACAGTGTCGGAAATCCCGTCTCTTCCCAAAACTCCAATAACTCTGAATATTAATTGGCGAAGATAGGTTTGATGTTTGATCAATGATCTTTTGTGTGTGCTTTGGGGGGAGTGTTTGGGATGAAAAGAAATTAAAACATGTCACCCGAGCTCTAGGTTAGTAGTAAGAAAGCGGCAGCTGAGCAATTGTCAATATTTTCATCATAACTTTATCTGATGATATCAAATTAAGGTGATTTAAAATGCATTGGAAAGCTGACTAAAAGGACTTCAATTCTTCTAGACATTCTCCAAATTCGAATATTTTCTATGTGAAAAATTCGTTGTAATTTGCGACTAAGAATTTAGAACATAACTTCTGCGGTTCTTTGACACCCTTTAAACTTTTAATTACGTTTCCTTGATCATATGTGATCTTTTTGGACATATTTGACATCTTGGACTCCATTAAAACTTATACTACAAATTCTTAACTATTTTGAATTGTAACACGATAAACTCCTAATGCAATCGAAATAGGACTTGATTTCGAATTAGGAAATCGCAAATTACAATTTGGACTTAGCAACATCAATTTTTATAAGATTGTTTTGCCCTGATTAATATACGGTACTATAACTTTGATCAAATGGCATTTGCTGGAGAGAAATGGACTTGATTTTGTTGGAATGCGGAAGTGGAATTATCCAGAAATTAAAAAAAAATCATTAATTCAAAAATAACATCGTTTAAATGTTCACGTGTATGTTATATCAAAGAAACAAAGTATTCGAATTTTTACCTAAATTCGATGATAAATTCTTTAATTAATTCTGAATCACGAACTTTCAGCTTTTTAATTCCAAGAAATTGATGCTTCAAACCTCCAGGTCTTCTATGGTATTTTCCACAGTCAAGACTACACTGGTGAGTAAGACACCTTCTTTTAATTAAATCAAGAAATCAATTCTTGAACCGGACAATTGAAAAAATCAAGAATAATAATTTTTTTCTCTCCAAAATTTGAACACTATGAAATTATGTATTATGAATATTGTGCAATTCCTTTCTATATGATGTCTAGAATCCAACTAATCTCTATTTATAAATATAGAAGAGTTCCAATCATTATATAATAATAATTCCACATTTAAAGGAGTTCCAATTAAAGTCCAAATCCAATTAATTTACATTTAATTACATGTGTAGTCCAAGAACTTTAATTACAATTATAATTAAGTTCACAACTTTAACAGTAATTACAACTGAGTATAAAACTTTTATTTTAATTACAATTATACCCAAAACTATTATAATTACCGTAATTAAATTTCAATACTTTATGGAGCTACTACAGGGACCTGATCGGATATATATTTTCCAAGTTACAATAATTAGATTCTGTCTAGTCGATCCTAGACCACTCAATCTAAGTATTAGTCTTTTCTTTTTTCACTAAAAGCAGAAGACTAGATTCGTGAAATATATAAGATCATAGAAGCCAATAAATCTGTAATACTTTCCTCTGACATAACGTACATATATTTTATCCTCATCCGAGATTCGATAATTAGATACGAGCTTAAATGACCGATTTACCCTTCTAATTATTCTCACCAACTTAAGTTTCATTTTCTTCAATGGTCCTGTGAATTAATCACAGATGTCCAAATTTAGTCGTCGCTAAACATTGAGTTTAGATTTTAACCGTCCAACAAAAAATACATAAGTAGTTACGTTATCCATTTTACAGGGTGACGATTCCCGACACGAATTCATGTTTTCTACTTTGCTCTTTTTTAAGTTCTCAATTCATTGAGATATTTGACCAATCAAATTGACTCGCCCATTGATGAATCAAAAAACCATTAAAATCACGAAAAGATATACATAATCCCGTCAAGAGATTTAGATAAAATGCACAACGATCTAGTTAAATTTAATTATCCGTACGATCATGCTATATTAAATTTGACACGTTGTCCATTCAATGCACTCCACGTGTACAAGTGTCATCTTTAATTATTTCTATGATAAGGATAAATCACAAATCCGAATAATGAATCGGTCGACACTACAACCTTTTAGTACAAGGTACCAACCCTTATACATTGGTTGTGAACAAATTATTTATGATCAAAGTATAAGTTGTTTCACACTATACTTCTCAGTGCAAGTACTCAACTTATATTAATTCAAGTGATCATAAACACTTTAATTTGTATGGTCAATAATAACTAGGGTCTTGCTTGATGTATACAATTTTTTTTTGTATAGCAAAGTGTGCTCCACTCACATGGGGTGGGGTCCACTTGAATATTTTGTTATGGCGGACCCCACCCCATGTGATTGGAGGATATCTTTATATACAAAAAATTATGTACATGTAGATTTATCCTAATAAATAATACAATAAAATCATAATTTATTTATTATAAATGATTATTTTAGCATAGTAAAATATACACAACCCATTTGCATGACAGCAGCAACACGTGGTATATGGATTCTCTAGATCTGATCTAATAGTCGAGTTAATCAATAATGTTTTTTGATGGGATTAAGGAATACATTAATTGAAAAATGGTGGGTGTTTAAGAATTGATGGGTCCGAAAACGTAGGTGAAGCCATAAGAGAGAGAGAGAGAGAACTGCAACAAAAGATGAGAGTTATAAAAGCAAAAGAAGAAGCAATGATTCTTTCTTCCTATGGGAATTTGTAATCAGAATAATAATATAGTTTACTATTCTGAAATCTACTCTTTTTCCAAGGGAGAACCGTAGGAAAAGAGCCTTCCATCTACCTTCCTTACACCTCCTACCATCCTCCTCCTCCGATGCTCTGACCACCGCCTCCTCCGTTTTCTGCCGCCGTTCGCCCCCTACCATTCAGGTGCTTATTTCTTGTTTCGATGCATTTTTGTTATTATGGCGTGTTTGTGTTTATTAGTTTAGAATTCTTGTAAGTTTCTTCTTCTTAGTATATCGCCCCTATATCATTTGGATCATTTAGGGGCCTTAAGTAGCGATCTGGCGTATTTCTCCCTCTCGACGATGAACCTTCTCCCCGATTTGAATCCGATAAAAAGTAAATCACCTGTGAATATGGGGTCGGCCTGCTTCGTAATGGATTTAGCCTAAAATGAATAGTGCTTGGTAGTAAATTCATTTTGAAAAATGTAGAGGAATGTAACCATCTTGAATTATATATATATATATATATATATATATATATATATATATATATACATATATATATATATATATATATATATATATATATATATATATATATATATATAGGCTAACATTTTTATTTTTCCCTTTCGATTGTTATCAGGCATAATTTGATTTAATTCAGTAAACTTCGAAAATAATCCATACATTTGCGGCTTATAATCTGATAAAGTTTGATCTGAAGATTAATTGTAAGACCATTGCATAAAAAAATATTTAATCATTATTTAATGTAATAAACTTGTGATCATGTGAAGACTTCTTTTGTCATTATCAAGCCACATTTATTAAATTATGATCACATGGAATCAATATCTTCAAAGAAAAGGGATTAACCTAAACATACACATCTTGGTGGCATTTAATAAAAAAGTATTTTCTTGATTTTATTGTCACCCTTGTAAAGTTATTAGATAAATCAATTGAAAATCAAATTGCAGCAATCTTTGTTGTATTTGAATCTTGGCATTTGGATCAAGAAATGCTGTAGAACAAGAAAATCTTGAATTCGTATTCGCATTTTGGTCGAATATTGTTGTGGTAAGAGCTGAGAGCAATGGAGGATAATGGAGGAAGCTGCAAGGTGACAGGAATCAGGCAAATTGTTAGACTCAAGGAGTTCCTTCAGAAATGGCAAAACGTAACACTTAGCCCCAAGGGTAATAACGCGCGATCTAACGAGAATCAAGTTCCTGGAGGCATTTCACCGGCAATTAATAGAAGGCTGAGGAGCACTAACGTATATTGCGACTCTGATGAGGATGGTTGCCAGAGCCCAGAATCACCGAATGATGTTCCAAAAGGTTACCTTGCAGTGTATGTTGGGCGGGAGCTTAGGAGGTTTATCATCCCCACAAGCTATCTTAGCGATCCACTGTTTAAGGTGTTGCTAGAAAAGGTTGAGGAGGAGTTTGGATTTGATCATAGTGGCGCTCTTACAATCCCGTGTGAGACTGAGACCTTCAAGTATCTCCTGCAGTGCATGGAAAATCATCGAAAAGAGCAAGCCGAAGGTAACGCAGGTTAAGTACTGTTATCCATCTTCTCTTTACACAATTTGACCTCTTGTCTCATCTTGTCATGCCTCAATACATTGTCCGGAGTTTCAATTTTATCCATCTGAATCAAAATTGGGAATTTGCAAGAGAAGCAAGACTTTATCATTGAATCACAGATTAGCATGGGGTTATTTTAGTTCAAAATCATTGTTTAATGTGTTGAGGAGGGGTACGAGTACTGGACATGACATAGAGTGTAGTCGATAAAATTTTTGTTTCTTTGAATACTCGTTAATTTATTTTTGTGTGTTCTAAACTCGGTAACCTAAACAATTTTGCAGCTGGGACATCATATTCTGTTGAGTGAGGGAAGTAACTTGGTCTCTTCAAAGATTGAGATATAATAGGTGGCATGTATAACGAAGGTCTCTTTCTTATTGTATGAAAATTTTCAGTTTTCCTGTTTCATATTTCTTTCGAAATGACAAATATTAGATAGATAGAATTATTGCTTTTGGCGGTTACAGCAGTTGCCTGTTCCTGGCCTTTTTAGCTTGCCAAACTATTCACATTCGTTTGGTGCTTATTCGATTAGATGAAATTCAGTGTTCAGATTACAAAATTCGTTTGGTGCTTATTCGGTTACAGCAGTTGCCTGTTCCTGGCCTTTTTAGAATGTACACATTGTAATAGGTACATTCTATTATAACGTGTAATTGTAACATAATGGTAGAACTTATGCGTAAATCAAACTTGTCGAAAAATTTTAAACTGCAACACTAGAAACCCAAAGTATTTATAACTATTAACTTGAAATCTTTACAAGAAATTGCAAATCTAGAAATACACTGTAAAATCTACTCACTAACACCACGGACATCAAGATTGGTGACCAAATTAGGCTCAGATCTTTGTACCCTTCTGTATCATTAAGGATGCCCTATCTCAACCACAGAACCCTCACAGGTCCCCAAATCTACCCTTCAATGGACCGAACACAAAAGGACTCAATAATAGATTTTCCAATATACTCACACAGAAGGAAAACCCCCAAATTATCGATCTTACAAAGAAAAAATGATTAATTCACAAAGAGAGAAGATGAACAGACATGAACAGAAGAACCCAGAAGGTTCAGACGGTTGGAGAAAATAGAGGAATGAAAAAGTCTCTCAAGTTAGGATTGAAGACCCATATTTATAGTAACACACAATCAACCGTAGATCTGTATCTTCATCCAACAATCCATAGTAATGCACAAGATTGGGCTGATTTTGGGTCATGGGAGTGGGCCATCTCAAATGAAGTTATTGGGCAAGGTTAAGTATATTGTAATTGGGCCGAAGGCCACTTTCTCATCATCGCCTAAACAATGGATTGGACTGGCATCACAGCCCAACAGTTCAAAGTCAGAAAGTTGCAACATAGACATAAAAATATTTTTAAATGTAATTATATTTTCCCAAGACCGCCTAAAACGGCATGCATAAACCCAAAAATGTAAACAGAATATGTTTAACATTTTCAAATGGCTCGACCAAACACCTCCCATATCGATCAGGCACCAAAAATATTGAGCAATTGTAGTGAGTATAAAAATATACTGTAAGATACAAGCTCGATTTCACATGCTAATGCTAAGTAAACTAATATAAACATGTTAACAAACTTTCCATCGTAAGAGCATGATAGTCTCAAATCTTGAATTTATGTCAATGTTGTTCAAGTTCTAATACTACATAACATTTCAGGTACATCCCAAACCTCAAATTAGGGTTGTTGGTTCACATTGTTCAATATTGAAATGAGAAATCAATGACTTGAGCTATTGATTGATTGAGTTGTTAAATCATTGAGAACAAGATGAACAACTTCAAACTTGAGAAGTTTACTTGGAGAAGATAATTCTAGTTTGAAAAATTAACTTTTCTTATACTTTATTATATAATTTTTTTTAACATTCTTTAACTAGAATTTGAAAGAGAGTGTTTTAACTTTGTAAAATGAAAAAAGAAAATGGATTGTGGGTCTAAACTGAGGGGTTTGGCCACCTTGAGTTTTTTTATATAAGAAAGTAACTTAAATTTCGATCAGTAAGAATGATCAACGAAAAGTCTTGTAACTCTCATTTTTATTAAATAGAGAGTAAATATGAAGATTAATTATATTGTTAGTGGTTAAAATAGAGTTCTGCCATGTATACAGAAAAAGTGCTACCAAAATTGCTACGTAAAACACTTAACAATTTTGATAATGGCCAAAAAAAGGGGGGGGGGGGGGGCGAA